TTTAATTCCTTATTATTAGTATTTAATTGTTAATTCTATCAGATTGTTGCTTTGCTGTTTATTTCCTGCTTAATATTTAATAGTCTAGTCAATCAAGAAATCATCATCAAGAAATCTTATCAAACCAATAGTATTGCATCACTAGTATAGCTTTAATAGAATAAATAAAGTATGCCAGTAACAAAGCTATAGAATAAACACGGAGTATACTAGTAATAACAAAGCAGGCTAGTAACAACAAAGCAGGCTATATTAATATTAATATCAAGATAAAGATAAAGTAATGAATTACAATATATAATATAATTATTATTGAATATAATTTAAAAAAGTATCTTATAAATTGTTAAATAAATTATCTTTAAGTAATAATATCTTGTAATCTTTAATATATTAGATTTTTTTATAGAATAAAAAATCTTAAAATAAAGATATTCCATTATACTAAAATAAACTCCAAGATTATATAAAATATATAAAAAAGTAAGAAATAGAATACTGCTAATTTTATATTTTAAAATAATTAAATTAGAATAAAGCTAATAAACACTTTTATTAATTTAAACTTAATTTATATTTTTTAAAACTAGCTAAATATAATATCAAGATATATAATATATAATTATCAATTTTTAAATATAATAATAAGATTATTGATATAATTATAATAAAATTGGAGATACTTTTTTAATTTTATTTTTTTTCATATTAGACATTAAGGACAGAGTTAATAAAATCTATAATAATAATATAGTTGAATTGTTTAATAAGAAATAATAATTATATAATTTGAATAATCTTATTTTAATAGTTATTAATAAAGAAATTGATGAATATTAATTATTATAATATATAGATAGTTCTTTATTATATTAATAATATTATTCTAATAAGAATTAGAATATAAATTAAATTTAATAAATCAATGTATTTTATATAGATTAATAACTACTTATTTTTTTTATTTTATTATATTATTAAGATTAATAGATATTTTCAGGTAATAGAAACTAAATATATTATTAATATATAATTAATTATATATAATATTTTGTCTTATTAGTATAAAATATTAAGAATGTTATTAATAACTTAATAATTAATAGAGCTTATATAATAAATATAAAATTAAAGAAATTAAACTTTTTAATTATATTTAAAAAAAGTCTTTATTTATTCATTCTCTAATATATTAACTATACTAATTTTTAACCTATTAAATAAAATTTAAATATTATATAAAGCCTATCTTTTAATAAGAAAGTGATAAAAGTATAAAGAAATATATAAATAATAATAAAAAAGAAGTTTTACAGATAAGAAAAAACTATTTTATTTATATTAAAATATTCGCGAATCCTGTAAATTATTTATTATATGTAAATTAAATCAAGATTACTTTATAAAGTAATTTATATTAAGATATAACAAAATTTATATAGTCTTTATTTCAATTATCTTATTATTTAATAATAATATAGATCTATTTCTTTATTTAATAATTATAAAACTATTTCTAATTCTAATTTAGATAGCTTTACTTAATAGAAAGAATAATATTTATAATAAAATAATATATCAAGATAATTATAAAAGTTATAAGATTATTAATAATAAATATAGATCTTTTTATTAATTATAAAATATTATTTTTTTAATATTAGACTTTTAATTTCTTAAGAATTAGTTCTGTCTTATAAATATAGACTATCTTTATCTTTAATATATAAATCTATTGCATAATTATATTTGACAGTCGATTCCTTATCTACTCAACAGGCCTTCTATCCTGACAAGTAGATCCTATCACACTATCTTTGCTTTTATCATTTTTTAGTATTATAAAATATATAAAAAAAATTATTTTTATAAGAATATCTTTTAATAATTTAGAATTATATATTTTATTTCTAATTATAATGAAGATTATCTTGTTATATCTTAAGAAATTTAAAAAAATATATTAAATTATTCTTTTAGTATGTTTTCATAGTTTCGTTTTTCTATAAATTATTAGATATATAATTTAAATAGATTATTATAATCTATATTATTTTTTATTTTAAGTCTTAATATCCGCTATTAATACTTATTAAATAATAAATAATTAATTTGATAATTAACTTTATTAATTTCATATTCTTAAAGTAATCAGCTGCTGCTGCTAATAAGAATAGCTTTATTACTAATAATATAATTAATAAGAATAATTCTATTACTTTAAATAATAATGTTAAGAAGAAAAAATTATAACTTTTAAGAATAAAGTTTCTAAAAAATAATTAAAAATTAAATTATCTTAATCTAGATATAGCAGACGCCTATAACAGCTATTTAAAAAATTCTTAAAAAATTAATAGTCTGAAGAAATAAATATAAAAAAATATTAAATACTTTATTATAGAGAGAACAAATATAGATAAATATTTAATATAATATATTAAAGTCTTTCTTATTTTTAGTTCTAAATTTTAAAAAGAAATCATGAATATAAAATAGCTAGAAAAATTCTTATAAAATCAGATATTTATATATTTACATTATATAATAAAGTAGTTAATAACTAAATTTATAGATTTAAATAAATTAAAGTTATATAAAAAGATTTATTAAATTAATAAGCTTAAGAACTTAAAGATTTACTTTTTTTTAAAAAAAATAAATTATCTTTTTTATATATTAGATTTTTGATATTAAGACTAGTACTAATAGAAGAATTAACTAGTTTAAAATAAGATTAATAATTAAAAAAAATAATCAAAAAATAACTTTAATATCATCTTTAATCTAATTATAAAATAATTAGAGATATAGTATTAGAACTTAAAAATTCTTATATAAATTTAAATCATTAATTAATTTATAAGATTATAAGATAATTAATTTTCTTAAAATATTGGATTTAAATTATCTACTCTTAAGTCTAGTATTTTTATTAATATATAAAAGATAGTTATTATTTTATATATTAATATAATTCTTATTTTTGATTTTAAAGAAGTAAAATATTAAGAAGAATATAAAAATATTTTATTTTATAATAAATTTTAACTTAATTAAAAGATTTCTAGATATTAGATTTATCTAAAAAAAAATAAATTAGTTAAGATAAATTAAAAAATTTATATTAAAGAGATTTTAAAAAAATTTAGAATAATAAATTATAAGTTTATTAATATATTAATAAAGTTAAATATCTAGCTTGATACTAATAATTTATAATTAAATAAAAAAAATTATAAAATATTTAAAATAATAATTAAAAAATTAATATTTTTAATATATAAAATAAGATTAGATATTATACTTTTAATAAATTAATTATCTTAGTATTTAATTAATTTAAGCCAGATTTATTTATTTGCTATAAAATATATTACAGAATATTTTAAAATTATAAAGAGCTACACAATAATATTTTTTATTAAAAAAATAAAAAAACAGATTTATATTATATATATTAATTTAATATATATTAATATAAGAATAAAAAGATTAATTACTAAATACATAATAATAAGTAGTAACTTATTTATTTATTAAATTAATAAGAAATAAATTATTACTGCTTAAAGCTTTACTAAAATAGAATATATTATTATTATTAAAATAATTAAATAAATAATTTTATATAGATATTTCTTATATATAATTAAAAAAATACTGTATATTAAAATATTTTTATTATATTATATAAAAATAATCAGAGTTATTAAGATTATAGAAAATTTAATAAATTATTAATAAATAAAATTCATCTTTACCTAATATTATATTATTTATAATTATATTATAAATAAAAAGATTTGAGTTATTTATCTATTTATAAAAAATATAATAATAAATAAATTAATAAAAATAACTATATAAATTAGCTAGATATATTTTATTAAAAATTTAAGACTTATTTAAATAAGCAGAAGAATCAGTTTTAATATATTAATATATTTAAATTTTTTTAAATATTTAATATAGCTCTATTTTATACTTATTTTAATTATTTAAATTTAAAAGATTATTTATATATTAAATAAAGAAAAGTAATATAATATAATTAGATTTATAAATAAAATATTATTTTATCTTTAGCTGAGTAAGTATATATTTTAATAAATCTTTTAAAAGAATTTATTAATAATTATTTAATAAAAATTATTAAGTATTTAGAATATTAATATTATAATTTTAAAAAATATTTTTTTTTATTTTTTATTAGTAATCTATATCTGCGCCTTAGACTGTGTATAAGTAAAGCGTCCGGAAGCCTCTACATCCCTGAGGATCCACTTCACTATATACAGGCAGTTAACTACACACAAACAGATTAATTACACACAGGCAAGTTAACTACACGCAGGCAAGTTAACTACACACAGGCAAGTTAACTATACGCAGGCAGTTAACTACACACGGGCAGGTTAATTATATACAGACAGTTAACTACGCGCAGGCAGGTTAATTACATGCAGGCAGTTAACTATATATACAGACAGATTAACTTTGCGCAGATACACAGATAGCAGAACAGACAGGCAGGCGGGTAGACAGGCGGGCAGAATTATCAGTCATATAAATATAACTATCTCAATTAGTAGGCAGTAGATTTAAAATAGTGTGGCAGTAGCAACAGTGATGTGACTGTAGCAACAGCGGTGTGACTGTAGCCCGGAAGGTGTGGCTGTATCACCTCCCTTAAAACTTAATCAAAAGGATATTTTATGCTTTCATGTCCTTTGCTGCTTAAAGATATAGAATATTAAGCTTATTATGATTGAGTATGAGAGATATTCAATCTATCTAGATATTTCACATGACATGCTTTCTAGGTGTGTTGTGTGATACTGTACTGTATATTATAAGAAATTAGGGGTGGTGAATACACCATTAGACGCATTTTTTTAAATTTAATAACCTGTGAGGTCACAATACTAGTTACTGTAGCATGATGACTGATGTATATATTAATATTATCTGCTACTTCTTATTCACTTGCTTGCTTTCTTACTCTTCCACAATACCAGCTTAATAATTTTATTACAAGGATGTATGTGATCAATAAGTAAGTTGTTAAAATCATTGAGATTTTCACGCTATAGCTCACATAATTACAGCAGAGTGTACCATCTGGACACACAGCTCCATAAATTAGAGCAGCGGATCAAAAATAACATCCACTTAGAGCCATCTGACCTCCACAAAGGTTCAGACCAAGTATCATGCCTAATGAAAAACATATCAATATTGGAAAACATTATCGACTTATTATCTACGACATCTAAGTCTCGACCACTGCTGCGTGCAGACCAACTCGCAAGGATAATCTCCGAATATCCCCATAACCTGCATAATGTTAAACAGGCATCCTCGGATGTATATGTTCCGATGACGGCTATGGTAGATTATTCCTGGATGGTGGCTGCTAAAGCGGCGATCCAGACATTTGGTATTATCCTAAATTCTTTTTCAGAAGATGCGCTTGCCCTGAACGACGAAATAATCTACTGGGACAGCGTTTTAGAGTCCGACTGGTACCTGGGGTGGTACGCATTACAGACATCTCCAGGCTTCCTTTGGAAACGACTTGGATACTCTTTCTCTGGCCAGCATAATGCTGACTCCGACGATAAACCCCTAGTGCCCATTTCACATAGATGGGCGCAATTCTACAAATCTGTCCGCGAGTGTATTGTCTCACAAAGAATGTTTTCTTTGCGAAAAAGAATACCGTCACCTACCTCATTGGCAAAGAGAGAAGTCCGGCGGAGCAGAAAGTCACTGACAGTGGTGAAAGACATTTACGCGAGCGGTATTGGACTTCTCATGAGAAAGTGTTTCATGTTTGAAAGTGACAGTGATTCCACGGGCGACAATGACTTGATAACTTCCAATAAAGAATGGCAAGATGTGATCATCGAGAGTGTGATCTTGATGAAATCGGTTCTAGAACGTGGAGTCAATGGCATAGTCGTCAGTGACGTCCAAAATGATACCGTGGCGGCGATTGAAACGGAAGCTTCGAAAATGCGGATGCATTACTGCAATATTCCATCCTCACAACAACCAAAAGTTGTCATCCAACATCTCGGCCACATACTCGAAGAACTTCTTCCATGCTCTGCCACAGCTTCTACGTCTGTCATTCGCGACTTTGGACGTCCCGGGGTCTTTGTCCGTTACTGGTTGCCAATATCATTGGCCGTTTTTTCAACGAGCACATTGTTAGAGCTGTTAACAAACCGACGCCATGAAATTCTGAGATGGATAACCGACATTGGTTCAACCACCATCGAGTTCTGGAACAACTGGGTCGTAGACCCATTTCGAAAGCTTATTGGGACCATAAGGCATGATGAAGAAAGTGAGATTGCGCTGATGAGTAGGAACAGCCTAGAAGCCGATCGGGCTAGTTTGGAAAGAATGGTCATGGATTTTGTCCTCGACCGTTGCGAACCAGTCAAAGAGGAATTTGGCCCCGTGAATACTCACACAATCACAGCCAAAGTAAGAGAAGGTGACTTGACACCTGTTTTGAAAGCATATGAGAAAGACCTACGCAATCCATTTGTTGGCACCGTACGAGGTGATTTGGTGCGAGCCCTCTTGATACAGATTCAGAAGACCAAGGTAGATGTCGAGATTGCAATCGGGGGTATCGACGCGTTACTGAAAAGTCAAGAACTTGTATTCGGGTAAGAAGTACTTTCACGGATGTCGACAAGATAAACATTAATATTTTTTTAGGTTTGTTGGCTTGACCCCAGGTATAATGGTATCATATACAACATTCTGTTGGCTTCACGGCATCCTAGGAAACAGGAAGGGTCTGAGCATGGGTAGGCGGCAGGATGAACTGAGGCATGCTCTTCGGTGAGTTTGGGTTTCCAGTTGGGAGTCGAATCGTCCCAGTCATGACTAATGAATTTAATAGAACCATCCACCGGACCCTGGTATTATCACCCCAAGCCACAGGTGTTCTCACCTTCAAAGCGTACGGTCTCTTGATATGCAACGCGGAAATATTACTGTACAAGGCGCAAGCCATACTAAGCGGCACAGATATGCATCTGTTTCAAGAAGATATTCGTGACTTGATTCAGGGAAACAGGATCGATCAACAGGTAAAAATTGTTGAAAGAATGAGCTGGATGTACTCAAGATGGATTTGAAAAACCTGTATGCCCCGGATGTCTAAGATACAACAACTATCTACCTCAATAAGAAATAGGCCCAACCGGCCGGTCATCATATGCCAGATAAGATTGTGGTTTCTGAACAAGTCTATTGACCCGTGAAGTATCTATAAATAGTAGAAATATATAATAAATAATCAATATAGTAAAGTAATGAATTTAAAAGCTATAATTTAATTCTATATTATTTTCTAAAGAAATTAAAATAGTAATATTAGACAGACTTCAGAAATTAATTTCATATATAATTAATTATATCAAATTTATTAATTAGTTATATAAATGTAATTTTTCCATTATTTCCATAAAAAGATTCCAAATAATCAATCTGATATAATAATAAAACTTTTATTATATAAAGAAAATTAATTAATAATTAGGTAATATGCCATATTTAGTGTTATATAAATTAATAGTTTTTGAAATAATTAATATTAATTAATAACAAGAAATATACTACGCTTTTTATTATATAAAATTAAAATATAAAATACTGAATTGAAAAATATAAACAGTCTTAATTATCTAAACTTTTCAGTGCAATAAAAATAATTAATAACTAGATATAATAATCTAAGACTATAAAATAGTCATAAGAATATGAATTATTATTTTTAATTATTTTAGTTATTAAATAAAAAAAATTATAATATATCTTCAAAAACAAAACCTTGTTTTACTCAATAAATATATATGGTTTCTTTAAAAAGAGATAATTAATAGGAAAAACTAAATATTGATTATATTAAATAATATTGCATAAGCTATTGTACCAGTTAATTATATGATTAATTAAATAATAATAAAGCTTATATTGTTGGCATTTGGCTGCTCCGGGATCATGTTACTGTATCTCTACTTAATCGCCGCGATTCCTGATTTCTTTTATCTGAATTAATCTATTCATTTCTATTACTTTGTATAACTGTTTTTCTGTCAAATTATAAATCTAAAACTTATTATTTAGAGTTATTTGATAATAAATTAATAATCTCTTTATTATTATTTTTATTAAATACTTGAAATATATTATTCAGTACATCTTTAAATTTTTTATAATATTATTATATCTACTATATTAGATTAGTATATTTTTTAGAATATAATTATAATAATTAATCAGCAGCACTATCAGTACTATTAATATTATTATTAAACTTATTATCTAGATAATTTAATTTATTAAATAAATTCAATCTTATATTCTTAATATAATTAAAATAAATACAATTAATAATATTAATTTATCTTTGTTTTTTTTTTGATTAATTAAATATACTAAGAAGAGTATTGTATAAAGGATATAAGAGAGAAAAGGATTAATAGATTTAACTAGCTAGAGACAACAGTCTATTTAAGATATTAATAATATATTAAGTTATATAGTTAATAATATAATATTATATAATATAGTCTAATATTCTTCTAACTTAAAATTCTATAAATAATATAAAGAAATAAAATTACTTTTAATATTATTTTTATATATAAATTCTTATTTCTAATATTTTTAGAAAATAAATAAATATTATAAATAAAAATAATTTAATTAATTTATCTACTATCTATTTTTTAATTAAAATATAAATAAAATTAATATTTTTAATAATAATAATCTATCTAATAAAGTAATATTTAAGATATATATACTTAATATAGATATAATATTTTAAATTATATTATAATATAATAATATTTTAATTATTAGTCTAAATAATAACTAAATAAAATATTATAATTTATATAATATTATTTTATTAAAAATAAAATTTATTAAATAAAATTAAATCTAGAATATTTTCTAAATAATTAATATCTGAATAATATACTTAATTTTAATAAAAAAATATAATAATAAATTATTTTGTAAAGTATTATAAAATAGACTTTCTAATAAAAATAAGAATATAATTATTTATTAAAATTAATTTATTAATATAAGAGTTTATTTTATTAATATTAAAATAAATAAAAGATCAGAACTATTAAAAATAAAATAAATAATAAAATTAAATAATCTCTTTAAATAAAAATGGATTGAAATAATAATAATAAAATAAATAATAAAAAGATTAATAATATAATATATAATTTTTTTATTATATAAATTATATTAATATATATTTTAATAATTAATTAAATTAAATTTTCAAATTATTTTTAATATATTTAAATTTTATTAATTATAGCAAGACCTTTAAAGTTTATAAAAACTAGAATTATCTTAAGATTATATAAAATTAGAGAAGACTTATAATTCTTAAGACTAAATCATTTTATTTAATTATTATTTGTAATTCTTAATTATAAGATAAGCTTTATAGATATTATTAGACTTAATCTATTAAATTTAATATATTAATAAAAATCTTATATTCTGCTTTCTATAAATAATATAAAAGATTTCTAGATAAAAATACTGTTTATTTCTATGATATATTATTTTATATTATTTTATTAATTTTGTATAAAATATAGTATCTAGCTATAAGAATAAGATATATTCGTTATTAAATAGATTTAATAAAATAATAATATTAGATAGCAGTTTATTTAAAGTTTTAATATTAAGAATATTAATTATTTAAATAAGATATTTATAATATATAACTATTTAAGCAAATTAATAAAGCTAATATCTTTATATAAATTAGAATTTATTTATAAAATTATAATATATAATTAGACATATTTAAAATATTTTAAACTGAATTTTTTAATTTATATTAATTATCTAAGATATTAATTTAAAATCTTGATCTGAGAACTAGACTGCTTATATAATAAAATAAAAGAATATTTAATAAATTAACTTTATTATTATTATTAATTAATAATCTTTTAATTACTGATATTAATACTAGAGAGGATAATTTAGATTAAAATTCTAGTATAAGATCTAGTACTAAATTCATTATATATATATTAATAAAAAGATCTGAGATTATAATCAAAAATATTATTTTATACTCTCTAAGTTATAAAAAATTATTAATAATAAATTAATTAAATTTAATCTATACTTTTATAATTCAAAATAAAATAAATAAATTAGCTAGTCTAAATTTATTAATTTTTTAATAAATTTAGATTAGCTATTTTATATAAATAAGAATTTAAATAAAATATAATAGTATTTTTTAGTATTTTAATTATTAATTAAAAATTTAATAGAAGTATTATTTAATTTATATTAAATATTTAAAAATAACAGAATAAAAATAGACTTTTTATAAAAAATAATATCTCTAATTATAATAATCTTTTTCAGTATTAAATTATAAATCTTATATAAATTCTTATTATAATTAATAAATTAATCCTAATTTATTCTAGAATCTAGATTATTACAGATCTTCTTAGATATAAGACTTTAGTATTAATAATTAAGAGTTTTTTATTATAAAATATTAGATTAAATATTATATAAAGTTTTATAAGAAGTTATATTAATAATATTATAAATTAATTTATTTTTAATATATTTAATTATCTATATAATATAATCTTACAGAAATCTGAATAATTAATTCTTGATTATTATTAAGATAATTAGCTTAAATCTTAATTAAATAATAATTCTTAATTTTAATTATTTTATTAAGAATAGATTAATAATATAAAATAATATTTCAAATGATATTTTTAAATTTATAATAATTCTTCAAAGAACTGTACTCTGAAATATTATTTATATAAAAATATTTATATAAGTGTTTATTACAAAACTCCAGTAGTATTAAATAATATAATTAATAAAAATAATAAAGATTTTTATAAAAATTAGTTTATAGATATCTATATAAGTATAATTTTCTAATTTAAACTTAATATTTTATATCTTCTTATTAATAAATAAAGTAAAATCTTTATTTTAAAAAATAATTTATATAATTTCTGGAATATTTTTCTTTAATATTTATATATTAATTATATACTTTATTAAATTATAAAACTTATATTTAAAGATATAAACAATCTAATAATAAACTAGATAAATTGAGATTAATTTTAAATTCAAAAGAATTATAGCAGTAGTAATAGAGAATAAAGATTTAATAATTTTTTTTAAACTTATATAAGATAATTCACTTACTTTAAGATATTTAACTAATCTGAACTAGTATTAGTAATAATAAAATAATAATAATAGTTTATCTGAGTATAATTATAATTCTTACAGTTATTAATAATAATAATATTAATAAATATTATTGAGCTGTTTAATTTAAACTTTGTTTTAAGATTCACTCTAATAAGCTAATAAATCAAAAAAAGATTATAAATTAAGATTAAAATATACTAGATATTAATAAATCTTAAAACAATTAAGTTAAATTAAATAATTTATTTAAATTAAAAAATTATGAATAATATTATTATATTCTTAAATAGAGAATATTAAATTTAAAATTATATAGATTAATATAATATATATATAATAATTAACAAAACTTGCTTTTAAAAATATTATATAATGTACTAATTTTAAGTTAATTATTTAAAGATTTAAATTTTTTATAAATTTTGTAAACTGCTTTATAATATTATAAAAACAATCTATTTTATTAATAATACTATTAATAGTAACAAAAGTCTTTATAAAAAAATTTATATTTATATTTATATTATTAAAGATCTTAATAATATTAATATTTATATTAATATTTAGATTATTATAATCTGTACTTAAGATATTTATTAAAATTTATTTAATAAAGATATCTGTGGCCAATTCTGAAATGTTATTCATAATTATATTAAATAAAAAACTATCTTATTTTTAGTTATAAATATAATGTTTATTATAATCTAATTTATTATTTTTATTTTTATTTTTATTTTTAATATCTATTTTATAATAATAGTTACTTAAGAAATTATTATTATAAGATTAATTATAATTATATTATATAAAATTATAATTTATAGATTCAGACATTTAAATGATCTTAATAAATCAAAAATTAGAATTATTATAGTCTTTATTATGATTTCTATTATAATTATAATTAATTAAATTTCAAGCTATATAATATAATAATTATATCATTAATAAAATAAATTAATAATATCTTTTAATTATATTTAGAGATAATAGATTCTTAATAAATATTATATAAATTAATTTTTAAAAAAATATTTTAATTAAGATTAGAAATTATTATACTATTAATTATTTTAGAAAATAATTTAAAAATATATAAATTTAATTTAATTAAATAACTCACCTATCTTATATAGAGAATTAATTGTTTTAGTTTATGTTTTTAAAAATAGAAAGGATTTTAATATTAGTAAATATTTTATATTAATTATTTTTTTAAAATTTAGACAGAATATTAATATTTTTTAATATATTATAAATCTTCTTAATCTTCTTATATATATCAACAGTAACTTGTATTTTTAAAATAAAAAAAATATTAGAATTAATAAATTATTAGAGTATATTTATTTCAAAATAAATTAATTTAATTTTATTTATTTAGATTTTTTATATAATTATTCCTAAGTTTTTGAATATATTATATATATATATATATATATATTAATTTTATTATAAATCTATACTAATATAACAGCAGCTTTAATAATATTATTTAACTCTGTTAAATATTTATAAACAAAAGTAATTATAATAATATAATATTAAAACCTTTCAAAATAAGATTTATTTTTAAAAATATTTTAATAATATTAATTCTTGATATTTAGTATTTATATTAATAATTCTTTTTATTTAAAACAGTTCTGATTATAATATAAGTTAAGAAAGATTTTAATTATTTTAAGATTAAACTTAGTAAGGTTGTTATTAAATATACTAAAAATAATTTCTAAAAATTAATAATTACTCAGAGGTTATATAATTAAAAAAAAACTAAAAAGTTATCTACTAAGAAAACAAGAATATACTATTAAAATAAATAATTCTAAGTTAATAAAATAAGATAAATTAGTAATAAAATTATAATATTATAAAATATAACAGTTAAGTAATATATATATATATATATATATATATAAAAAAACTTATATTTAAGTAATTATAATTATAAAAAGAAGATCTAAAACAATAAAAAATATTAAAAATAATATTAAAATTAATTAGATATTAAATGAGAGTAGAATATCTAGTAAAGCTTGATAAGATTAAATCTAAGATCAAATAAAAAAGCTTATAATTTATAAAGAATATAAGAAAAGAGAAGATTAATAAATTTAACTTGTTAGAAATAATTATTTACTTAAGATATTAGCAGAATGTTAAATTATATAACTAATAATATAATGTTATATAATATAATTTAATAAGTATATTCTTAATTAATTGTTTTTAATTCTAATTAATAATCTTTAAACTGTTTTTAATAATATTATTATATATAAAAATTAAATCTAAGAAATCCAATAAAGATATATGATTTTTAATTTTAAATACTTTAATAATTTTAATATATTATAATTTATAAGAGACCCTGAATATTATTATTAATATTAGGATCAATTTAAATAGATAATTATAGAATTATCAAGTTAAATATTAAATAATTTATAAAAATAATTATAAAATCCTGATTTTTTTATTAAATATATTAATAATAAATAGACTATTATATATAATATTATTAATAATAACAAACAATTTTGAAAAATAAATATAATATAAGACTGCAAGCTAGGAGAGGTATTATTACTAAGCCAAAAGACTAATATTATCTATAGTTATCTGCAGATCTCTAGAATCTTATATATATATTTAGATATATTTAAAAAAAGATAGACTGTATTTTTATAAGAATATATCTTATAAATATTATTTTTTATAATTATTCTTTTTTTAAATCTTTTAATTTATATAACAGCTTTTTAATTAATTATAGACTTTTTAATTTTAAACTAGATTTTTTAATTAATTATAAATATACTATTCAGAGATTATTATCTTATTATATTATATTATATATAATAAAGCCCTGGGCTAATTTTCTTAGACTAGTATAATTATATATAGGCAGATTATTAAAAGAATTATATAACTGGACTAGTTCTACTAAAATTAGTCCTCAGCCAAAGAGTATAAACTTTGGTTTGTTGAAGCCCACTGCGGGAATCGAAGTTTGCACTGTTTGGCAGAATTATTAAGTTAAATATTAAATAATCTATAAAAATAATTATAAAATTCTGATTTTTTTATTAAATATAGTAATAATAAATAGACTATTTTATATAATAATATTATTTCATATTTAAAAAATAAGATAATATCAAGAAACTGTATTCAATAATCATTAAATTATTTTTATATTATAATAATTAGAAAGATAATTATTATAGCTTTTCTTGTTTTTATATACTTAACTATTTTAATTAACACTTTAATAAAGTTCTTTAAAGTTAAGTTATTTAATATAAAGGAGAAGAAGTACAATATAAATATAAAATAAATATTAAAGAATTATTAATAAAGATAATCTTTAAAAAATATAATAAATTTTGAATATTTATAATATTAATTTAAATATTTTAATAATTATATTAATAAAGAATATATATACTGAAGAATTATTATAAATTATAAATTATATTTTTATTTATATTTAATTTTAAAACTATAAAATACTAATTAAATATTAAAAGATAATATTTAAGAATACAAATCTAAGAATAATAAATTAAATATTATATCAGAAAAGATTTTTTAATTTTTAAAGTTATATCTAAATAATTAGATGTCTCAAAAATAGTAGTTAATAATAATATTTTTAATTATTTAATTTAATATATAATACTAGATTTAAAAAATAAGAAACTTGTAAAAAGTATATAATTATAAAGTATCTATTTTTTTCAATATTATTATTTCTATTTGCTCTTAATTTAAAAATATCTGATGGCAAGAGGAAGATGAGCAGCAGACCAGGGACAGTGAGGCACATCAGAAACCCATATTCACCACAAATAAGTAACATGACTAACAAGAGAAATCAATTAAAATAATCTTAAATCTATATTATGTAGAATAATTCATAAGAGTGACATATTAGATATCATCCATAGCCAGTGAGCCACTGAGCCCCGTGCCACGCCACTGATCATGTTCTCAATCAGCCTTGGTTCATTGACTCAATTAAGAGCCAAGTTAATAATAGGCTGTGAAAATTAGAAAACTGCACTTCACTGAGCTTTCTTGGTCTCCCTCATAGCCTTGTTCTCCCTTCTCCGTTTAATGGCATCAGGAGAATATTCAGTATCCAAGACGTAATCCCACCATCTGAAGCTGCTTGAATAGTTTCCCACAAATTTCTCATGATGGAGATCATGGTGGTCAGCGCCAGCCCAAAATGGAAGGAAATGATGTAAGCTCCAGGGAAATTCATAGCCACTGTGCGCATCAATAGCCTGGAAGAGCCGTAGAACAATCCAAACATACATTGTAAATATATGCAGATCCCCCGTAACTGCACACCAGAGAATCGGACATCCCACAGTCCCAAAGCCAAGAATCATAACTTCAATGGGAGAAGCATACTCAGCAGCCATGCCGAATGGTGCGGAATATTGGTGATGAATTTTGTGGATAGCTCTGTAGAGAGGACCCCAGTGAAGAGCACGGTGGGAGAAGTAATGCCATGTGTCCTCCAGAACAAAGAATATCGCAATCTGATAAGCCATGGTATACAAAGAAGGGAAAGGAACCGAGGTTGACAGTCCAAAGAATTGAGCCATCGGGTGGAATAGCCTAAAATTATTAGCAAGACAATCAACAGTATATAATGGGCACAGCCAATCTCACCAAATTTGCGGCAATTCGACAGTGAAATGACTGAGAAGCACGAACTTGGCGCAATCCCATTGTTCTTTCAAGGATGGGATTTTATTCTGGATTCAAGTTAGGCTAGCCACAGGAAGATTGGTGGGTGTTTATACTCACGGTTTGGATTTTGTAATTGTTCAGTAAGCCCAGACTGTCTATGAAAATCCAAGGAAGAGAACGACCGAAGTAAACAATTTCATGCATTACAAATGACATGATGCCAGTCGCGAGGACATCATTCTGCATCCAGGCATACCACGCTGTCCACAGCCTTTCAATCACATTGAGGTGGGTGTTGTATTTGGAGATTTCTTCAAATTGTCCCCAGTAGGTTCCCGGTCCTGTCAATAGTGTAGAGTTCCTATTGCATCTTAGAATTCATGTACAAAGATGAGAAGGTGGAACTTACATTCTTCTGAAATTGTAAGTTTAGCGATTGCTTTCCCCCTTTCTCTTCAGCTTCCCCTATAGTAATGTCTGGTTGCAACGATTTTAATAAGAGCAAGACAGCTTTGACAAATGCAAGTAGTAATTGAAATGCAATTTACACGAAGCAGATGTAGAAAGCATGAATAAAAATATTTCAAGTGTCAAATGTTGATTGACTGATGGAACTCGACAGAGAGTATTTCAGGAACACTGGTGGAAGAACTGCGTGACCAGGAATCCGCTCCGATGTGGCGAGCGAGACCCCCTGGTCTTGATTTCTGGCACCACTGGCTAGCCGACTGGGACCGATATTAGCCCGGTCCACTTGCTTCCCACGTAATCATTGGCCAGTAATGATTGTCTGATTATAATTATTCCGACCCCTAGCAGATTCCAGATAAGGAAGTACTTTGTAAAACAGAGTAGTTCCAAAGTATTACTATGCACATGCTCTACATAAGCCTACTCATTCTCTACTTTGTACAAAGCATGTACATAACACAAGTTTTCTAAGAGCCGTGCGCCTATATACAAAGTGCCTCATCTTGCTCTTAAGAAGGCGACACCAAACCCCCCTTGCTACAGCCAACCACTTTGAAATCGCCGCTTGATAATTTAGGTGGTCTTGATTATATAGCTTATAATTCTGCCCCCGCCTGCCTGCCCGACCGCCTGCCTGCCCACGCGCGTACATAATCTACATGCGCGTACTCTATAGTTTGATGTGGTATAATTGGTTGCCTGGCTTTGATAGCCAGAACAATAATTATTCCAGCTGCTCAGCATGCAACTGTTGAGGGCCCGCTCTACTAATTAACTTAGTAGTCATTATCTAACTTATTATAAATTATCTTCTTCGTCTTCAATATATAGCTAGTTTTTCTGAATAAAACTGATTTATATTATTCTTTGTATTGTTTTATTTAATTAGGGCTATACTGAAGTAGATCCTCATGGGTGTAGAGGCTTCCGGATACCTTACTTGTATACAGCCTAAGACACAGATACAGATTACTATTAAAAGATAGAAGAAGTATTTCTTAAAATTATAATATTAATATTCTTAGTATTTAATAATTTTTATTTAATAATTATTAATAAACTTTTTTAAAAAATTTGCTAGAATATATACTTATTTAATTAAAATTAAAATAATTATATTCTATTTTTAATAAGCTGAAGATAAAATAATCTTTTATTTATTAATCTAGTTATATTATATTATTTTTTTTATTTAATATAAAATTAATCTTCTATATTAAAATAATTGAAATAAGTAGAAATTAAAGTTATATTAAATATCTAAAAATTTTTAAATATATTAATATATTAAAACTGATTTTTTTGTTTATTTAAATAAATTCTAAATTTTTAATAAAATATATCTAATTAATTTATATAATTATTTTAATTAATTTATCTGCTATTATATTTTCTATAAATAAATAAATAATCTAAATCTTTTTATTTATAATATAATTATAAATAATATAATATTAGATAGAGATATATTTTATTTATTAATAATTTATTAAATTTTTTATAATTTTAATAGCTTTCTGATTATTTTAATATATAATATTATTTTAATTATATATAAGAAATATTTATATTAGATTATTTACTTAATTACTTTAATAATACTAATATACTATATTTCAATAGAGCTCTAAATAATAATAACTTATTTCTTATTAATCTAGTAGATAAATAAATTATTAATTATTATTATATATTTAATAGTTTATTTTTTAATCTTATATTAATATATACTAAATTAATATATATAATAAAAATTTTCTTTTTATCTTTTTAATAAGAAATATTATCTTATAGCTCTTTATAATTTTTGAGATATTTTCTAATATATTTTACAGCAGATAAATAAATCTGGCTTAGATTAATGAAATATTAAAATAATTAATTAATTAAGATTATAATATCTAATAATCTAATCTTATTTCATATATTAACTTATTAAGAATATTAACTTTTTAATTATTATTTTAAATCTTTTATAATTTTTCTTACTTAGCCGCGGGCTACTAATATTAAATTAGATACTTAATTTTATTAATATATTAATAGATTTATAATATATTATCTATTATCTTACATTTCTTAAGAATCTGTCTGATTAGTCTTGTTATTACCCGCTCGTCAGCTCGGGATTTGCTCGGCCCGGCTTGCTAAGAGAACCCGCTCGAGCAAGTAAATAAACTTGACAGATAGATTTATAATATATTATCTATTATCTTACATTTCTTAAGAATCTGTCTGATTAGTCTTGTTATTACCCGCTCGTCAGCTCGGGATTTGCTCGGCCCGGCTTGCTAAGAGAACCCGCTCGAGCAAGTAAATAAACTTGACAGATAGATTTAAATTTTCAAGTCTGATTTAATTAAATTAATAAGTTAATCTTAAATTAAATAAGTTAAATTTTATAAACTTAAATTTTATTTCTTAATTTAATATATTTATATTATATAGATAAATTATATATAGTTATAAAAATTTTAAAATTAATAGATCTATTTATTCTTTATATTTTATAAAAAAATTAATTTTAAATAAAAATATAAACTATACAGAAAGTATATATAATTAATTATAAATTAAATATATAGAAAAATAAAATAAATTTCTTTTAAATATAATAAAAGTCTAAATAAACAGATCTTTATTATAATTATTTAAATTAATATAAATATAATAATAAAGCTAAAATTAAGTAAAATAATATTTTTAAAATTATTAATAATAAAAATTATAAAATAAAATAAAAGTTTACTTTTTTATTTTATTATATTATTATTCTGAATATTTAATATTTTTAATTTTTTTCTTTTTAAATTTTTCTTTTTATTAATATATTTAATATATTTATCTAAATTTTTATTTTATTTATTTAAATTATTTTTTAATTTTAAATTAAAACCATTACTATTATTATCTTTAATAATATAAAAATCTTATTTTAAAATAAAGTTCTTAATATATATTTAAATTATAATAGTATAAATAATCTCTAATAATAAATAATTATAATAATAATAATAAATATTATATAATAAATTAAATAATTATTTAATATTAATATTATTAATTAAAATAGAAAGAAATCCCAAACTATAATAATAAAAATTAAAAATTAAGAAATATTATTTCTTTATTGCTTAAAAATATTAAATATTTTAATAAAATCTAAAAGTTAATCTAAATTAGAATCTTATATTTAATTAAAATTATAAACTATAAAAATAATATATATATTTTTTTATAAATATTTATTAATCTTACTACTTTAATAAATCAGAAAAATATTTTAAATCTAAGAAAAGAATATTTTCTTATATAAATAAACTAATTTAATAAATTTAATAATAGATTAATAATATAAATTATATAAAATAAAAAATATTAAATAGAATAAAATTTATATTATTTTTTAAAAACTTTTTAATATTTATATTTTTAATTCTTATTTTTATCAGCTTAGTTAGTAGAGCTAAAGATCTAGATTTTTAATTATAAAAAAAATTAATAATTATAATATAAATATATTTCTAATTATAATAGATCTTAGAATAATAAGTATAAAAGTTTTTATACTCTTTTAAATATTTTTAAAACAGATTATTTTTATAAAATATTTTTATTTTAAAAATACTTACTAATATCTTTTAAATATTAAAAAAATATTATAAATATTAAATATTTTATTTATAATTAAATCTTAAAAGCTGGAAAAAACTAAAAGAAGATTATAAAAAGAATATAAAATTAAGAAAATATTTATATTATTTTTATTTAATATAAATAAAAGATAGTTATATAAGATTCTTTTAAATTTATATTATAATAAATTAATTAATTAATATTCAAAGAATAATTATATATTAAAATATAAGATATATTAAGTTTTATTAAATTTTATAATTTTAAAAAAGATTAAGATCTTAAATATTAATCTTATATTTTATAAAATATATTTTCTAAAAATAACAAGTATTAATAAAGTTTTTAATTTTATAAATCTATATAAAAAGAATTTGTTAATATAATTCTAATTTTAAATAAAATATATATTTCTTTAATAATCTGAGAAATATCTGCTATATATTTTAATAAATTTTCTTTTTTTTTATTATTTTAAACTTAATTATTTATTATTTTAATTCTAAGAAAAATAAGAAGCTTCTTTAAAATAAGTTATAAAATATAAATAAAATAAAAAATATAAATTTATAATTAAGCTAGTTTAATCAGAGCTGTATTAAGAATCTTTTTATTTAAATTATAATTTTTAAATTAAATATATAACTAATCTTAAAAAATCTTATTATTAAACTATTATAAATAATATTATTTTTTTTAACTACAAGAATCTGATTCTTAAAATACAAAAAATAAGAATTTTAATAATTAATTTTATTATTTACTTATCTATATAATTTTTATTCAGAGATTTAAATTTAAGAAGAACTTTCTTATATTATTAATTAATATTAATAAAATAATTAATAATTATTATAAAGAATTTTTATGATAAACTAATTTAATTATTAAGAATGAGTAATATTTTATTATTATCTAAAATATTATTAAATATTTCTAGCTGTTTAGTATAAGACTTATTTATTAATTAATTATAAATTTTATAAAAAATCTATAATCTTAATTAATTAATCTAAATTAATAATTAATTATAAATAAACAACAGTATTAAATCATAATTATATAATAAAAATAAATTTTAGAATTTAATCAATAAATCTTTTTAATATATAAACAAAACTCTGAGTCTAGAAATAAAAAGAATATTAATTTTTTTAAAATCTAATTTAAATTAGATTTATTATATATTTTTAATTAATTAATAATAAATAATTAAATAATTATTTTTTAAAAACTTTTATTAAAATATAATTTATTTTATAAATAATATTATACTAAATGATACAGAAGCTCTAAGAAAATATATATAATAAATATTATTTATAATAAATATAATAAATCTTAAATATATTATTATATAATAAATTAATCTTCTAAAAATTCTTTTATATATATATTTTTTAAATAGCTAATTCTCAAAATATTTATATTTTATATTTATAGATATTATTATTCTTACTGTTTTTATATTATATTATTATAATAAAGAAATTTATATATATATTTTATTACAAAGTACTATTTTATTATAGTCTTTATTAAATATAATTTATAATTTAAAGTTAGATTATATCTAGTAA